TTTTATTTTTACCTATAAATAAAAAGTTAGTAGTTTCTTTAAATATTTTGCAGAAGTAAATTAAGAATATAAAGACTAAATAAAAATTTGAATTATAGTAAAACAAACGACAATTACAGTAAGCTGTCCACAAATATACATAAATATGCTTGAGAATAGCAGAATGTAAGCTATACTTTATTTTACTGTAATAATCAATATTATTATAAGAGCAGTAAACATAAAAATGAATAAATAATAAAATATTTAAAGGAGGAAATAACAAATAATCGCAAGTAAATGGACTTCCAATAATGGACTTGGCACTAAAATTTCTGTTTGTAACAATATTTATAAAATATAAATATTATTTTATTTATTTTATATAAACATTTAATTTATTTTCTATTGAAATTTAAAAAAAAAAAAAAAAAATGTGCGCCCAGAATTATGCAAATTTTAATAAATTTCATAATAGCATTAATCAAAGTACAACAGCATATGTAACGTACAAGTCTTAAATCTAAAAATAAATAATGTTAAACTGGAATTTACTACTGAAATCTAAAGTATACAAAACCATGACTACATTTTGAATCGAATCTAATTTCTTCTATTTACACCACTTTAATTAATAAAAAACTGTTAAGAAAAACTTTAAATCCAATATAAATATACAGGGTGTCTAACAATTTATAATACTCCCAATTGTTATCATCAACTCTTGGACGCCTGATACATGACATTTTTCTTTTTAGGTTTTCTTTCTCGAATTATGGGGCTTCACACCGTATTCCAAGTTTGATAATGTTTGTCATATTCCCCGCGCTATGGCAATTTTTTGTTCATCTAGACGCATTCTGCTGCCCTGCTTCGATTGTACATTTAATTTCTAACACCCTGTATTCGTCGTTTTATAATTTACGTTTTTTACATTTATTACAGTTAAAAATGTAAATTATTATACAATTTTCAATAGTAAACCTACAATTATAAACAAAAATTGCAAATGACTATTTAATTACTAAGTAAAGCAAAGTTTCGGTAATAAAATCCCATTTAATTACATAATATCGATATACGATAATTTTTAGGAAACGAAAACAAAAATTTTAAATTAAAATACAAAAAAAAAAATCATCAAAAATTTTAATCTTTTATGTACCAACTTTGAATACAAACAAAATCTCATGAGAGTGCAAATTTTTATTTTATAAATGAATTTTCGATTCGTTACTTTTCCATAATAATGGAGTTAAAGTATATACATAAATAATTTAGTGCGGAAATTTTTCGAAATCATAATATTTAATTATAAAACCGAAAAACAAAAAATATATTTTATTTTAAATCCAAGTCTTCTGAATTCCACCGCATTGAATGAAAGGAAATAAAAAACAAAAACTATAAAATTGATAAATCAAAACGTACAAAATACAGATAACCTCAATGCATTCTCATATACATAGTCAGATCGTATTATGCTCCAATTGTGTGTGAAAGATTTGTTAACAGTTGTTATTATATCGCGTATTAAATATTCAACAGAAACAAATAATAAAGCACATAGAAATTAGTGAATGAAAATGAAATTTTTTACCCTCTAGTTTCTGGTTTTTTTTTTTCTACTTTTTTTTTTTGGTTTTCTGCTCTTTCGTTTTGTAATTTTTATTATTTACTTGATGTTTTTTTTTCCATTTTTACTATATTTAATTTTATTTTTTTATCATCGTTGATTTTAAGGAAGAATAATGATCTTCATTGCACCAGAAAATTGAATTCGCGTAACAAAATGTATGGTGGATTTTTCATCATAGAAGTATAGATATTTATTACCTATACCTATGCATACATATATAGTATAAAATGAAAATAGAAAAGAGGTTGACAGAAACAACTTTGGGGTATATCATGTATGACATTAAAATTTATCAAAATCAAAAGTTTTCTGTATTAGAAGAACGTTAACTTACTTGTACACACACAAAATAATAGAAAGTCCCGTTAGACGAAATTCTACCTAGTACGAAATGCTTTGTTACATTTCGCATCATAAACAGAATTTTCTTATATTTCTTAGAAATTTTCTTAATCTTTAAAACGAAGCATTCATAACAGGAATAAATTTCTTGACATTTTAATGACTATTGTTTTTATAACACGAAATTAACAAATACAACCCTTACAATTTTAATATATGAAGAACATCTTTAGTACGAAATTGGTGATTTGAAAATTTTTCGAGTGTATTGAATCTTTTCTCCTTATGCAAAATAAATATACAAATTTAGAAAAAACAAACAATTTTGTATGTACAATTAAGTAGATGGAATCACGATTTGTATTTTTATTTTTCATATTCTTTAACGCCAAATTTCTTCAATACGAACTAATTTTCATGTTATGGAGGCCCGACTGTCTTCTCCTATTGAGTTTATTTGTCTTCTACTATGTTGTTATTTTACAAATATAAGTAAGTATTTGTATTTTAATGTCACTCACAACATTATACGATATTACGATAATACTCGCCATTTGTAGTGCATTATAAATCTAATGGCAAATTTATTATACCATAATATGAACAAGTTCAATATATGAAAATAAACATGAATATTTGTTTACGATTATAGTGTAAACATAATATTATATTTTAGTATATGGTAAGTTAATTATAAATTTAATTTTAAAGTGAAAAGTAATAAATATTAGGATTGTAAGCTAACTTAAATAATAATTCAATTTGTTGTTATTTTGTTTTAGCATTAATTACAATATTTGAAAAACCACATTCTTATATTATGTTGCATAAATTGCATATAAGCGCAGAGACACCATTGTATACAATAACAACCATTCATATATAGAATAAAAGTTGATTGATGCAAGACGACATTAATGGCGACAAGAAAAAAAAAACAGGCAAGAAAATGAACAATTTAATAAGAATAACAAAAAAAGAAAAAATTTCTCCAAGCGTTTTGTTTTTTTTTTTATTTTTTACTCCGCTTTATTAGAAAACAAAAACAACACAAACGCCCAACTTAAACTAATTTTAAATCTATATAGATAAAAGTATGGCATACAATATAAAATAATTTCACTTTCATTATTTTCATTTTAATCTTTGGGTTTTTTGTAATTTTTTTTTTTGCTCTAATTGAAAAATTTCATTTATTTAAATTTCAAATAACAATTTGTATACATGTAGTCATGTAAAACATACAAATATACCATATTAAATACACGCAAAAAAACTTCAATATCAAATCGAAATTTAAGTCATGCGTTAAAATAGTTTTGTATTTCGAAGTAAATTTTAAGTTTTCTCTGAAATTTTTTAATACAATTTTTCTAAAAAGATCAATCTCTTTCTATATAATATTATTAAAAAAATTTGATAGACGTGATTTAATTAAAATTGAAATATTTTGATAATTTCCAACATTGAAAAATCATTATTAATTTTTTTGTATAATAATTTTTACGATCAGCATAATAACGTAAATTTATTTATAAGATAAACTGAAAAGAGAGTAATTATGATATGAATTGGTAATTGATGCAACAATAATTGAAATTGAAATTTAATTTTTCTACCAATAACTTTGAACTTTGTAAAAATTAAATTAAAAAGAAAGTGAATTTTTTTTGTTTTGAAGAAATTGAAAGAAGAGAAAAATTTATCAATCATTTGTCTACTGATTGTTCTTTTATATTCAATTTAATCCTCAAATTGTAAATTATTTTCTAGGTCCAATTATTTTCTGTTTTTGTTATTTAATACCCAAAAATCAATCGAAACAGTTAACAAATGATAAATCAAGCAATTTATCAAAATACTACAGGAATTTCATAAAAAAACCCCTTTCTGTAAGAGAAAATTAAGGGGTTTCCTTCACTTCTACATTTAACAATTTAATTAACAACATTTGAATTCCGTTATCCGATAGTTAATTTTTTAAAATATTTATGCAATTTTAAAATCCTAACTGCATTAGGATTATAGAAAAAACAAACAATACTTTTAATATAACAGATTTAAAATACTAACTGGGCAAGTATTGAATATACTTTAATACAATTCAATAATAATGGCATTCCAACAAAAATAATGAAAGAATCAATAACACTACAATTTAAATTAATAGTTTATCTATGTTCTTGATAATCGCAACAAAGACATAATTTTATGCTACCATCGTTATTTATTAAAATTATAATTTTTACTAAAATTATGCGCATCTTCCAATAAATATTGGAGTTTTAAGATTTGGAGTCTAGCATCTGTTCAATTTTTAAAGGTCTTTTCAAAAAAAAATTTAAAAACAAAAATGCTTTTTGGTTTGCCCGTTCGTCTTTACTAGAAACTTATTTTCACAGAAGAAAATTTTGTCTTAATTTGTAAAATTCTAATTTTCGGCATCATATGTTTCCGAAACTGCAAGCTTTCCTAAATTTCTATAAATAAGCTAGCGCTATGCCATGACTTCAAAAATTCCGTGAATTAAGAAAAATATTATTATTTTTCTTAATTCACGTAATTAGCCCTTAAACTCTAACATTATGTAATCCTACATGTATGCAATAATTAAAATAATTCCGTACATGAATGGAAATAATTTTGATTATGTATAGTGGTAGCAATGTAGTAATAATAATAATAATAATAATAATAGTAATAATAATACAAAAGCAGAATGATATTTTTTTCTTTCTAAAATCATATTTGCAGTAAACAGTGATTGACTGTGATCATAATGAAGCTAGTACTCTTATATAAAATACCTGACTTATTAAAAAGGGACATAATGTATAATATATGTGATTCTATGTGACAAAGCTGCACACAAACATAATAATATAAAAATTATGAGTCAATTTTTTCTTTTGATATTGTGATTGAATATAAATTGATTTTTTTGTCAAATTATTTAATTAAAATTTATTGCTATAAAAACATTTAATGAAAAAAATGAATTTTGATTGCACAAATAAAAATTAAATGAAAATATTCTTACCTCTTTAAGAAATCTGTATATTCGGCTTGACGTATTAAACCAGTTCTCATCATAATTGTTTGGAAACATTGTCGTTCGATGGCCCATAATTTACAATCATTTATGGCAGTTATTGTTGCTGTACGCTGACAATTATATAATATTGCTAATTCACCAAGTACTTTAGCACCAGATAATGTTGAAAGATATTTTCCTTCTCTGGACACTTCAACACGACCCTCTATTTTAATATGTACATATAATTTGTTTTGTTTTTTGTTAAGTGGACAGACAAAAAGAGAATAAAAATTAGATTTCATTAATATTTAAAATCATGTTTTCTTTAAAAAAAAAAAAATCTAAAATTAATGTTGTAAAATCAACAAAAATATTGAGATATGCAGATTATTTGATTCATCATTTCGTATGTTTTACTGAAAATTAAATCACAATGACTTTAAACTAAATGAATCTCACGTTTGATTTGAATTAAATGTAATTTAGCGCAAATGAAAAAGACGTGATGAAAGTGCCAAGTTGAATTTTTTTTTTTGTTTTTTCATGTTTATTTCTAATTTCATTTGAAATGAAAACTTTTTTTTTTTTGAAAATTACATACAAGTGCATGGTATGCTTTTAATTCACAAAAAAAAAGGTTTATTTCATGACTCCTAAAAACAAAAGAGCTGCTGATCATATTTCGAATATAAAAGATAAAAATTAAAATTAACAAAATTTCAACATGGTTTTGAAATTTTTTTTCTTTTATAAGATGTTAGTTTATTTTTAGTTTTACTAAAACCGGTTTCTTTGTCTAAAAAAAATTGTAGAGGAATTTTGTTTTTTTATTTAAAAATTATAAATTCTTACCACCATTGATCTCTTTATTGGCATCATTATTTGTACTTTCATTTTCATTATCTTTAAGTATATTACCGGTACGACGTTTTCTTGCATAAGTATGCACTGGAACAATTAATCTTGGTCTTGGTATTATAAATTGATCATCTGTATTACTTGATGATGAACTACCAGGTTCACGTCGACCTCTAATACTATTCTTATTGCTATTATTATTATTATTATTATTATTGTAGCTCATATTATTGGGTGAATTTTTTTTACTAACATCATTAACATTATTATTTTTTGTGTTAATCCATTGTGAATATGATGATGATGGATCATCGCTTATAGAATCTTTTGAATCTCTTTCTATTATACTTTCATAATTTGGTTCTATTGAATTAGTATCGGTTGTTAAATCAAAATCTAAATCAATATTATTAAAATCAATTATTTTATCCATACTTAATTTACTTTTAATGGTACCATTAGAACGAATTTGATTTCTATTATTATTATTTTTCATATTTGAATTTAAATTAATTTTATTATTATTTATTAAATTAGATTTACTATTATTATATTCTTCTGGAAATTTAATTGTATTTCTTATTTGATTAGAATTCATTGATGTTGTTGTATTATTATTTGTTAATCTTGGTTTTGGTTGTGGTGCTACTGGTGCTTCTGATGGTGGTGGTGGTGGTATATTTGATAAAATTATATTATCATTATAATTATTTGAGTAATTAATTGGCATTTGACGTTGTCTTGGTCTTGGCAATGGTTTATATGTATCAGGTATTTCTGGTAATTGTGTTGGTATTAAACGTGCACTTTTTGCACGACTTAATGGACGTGCTTTAATTGTTAATGTACGTGTTTTATTTGATAATTCCATATCATCCAAATTTTTATTTATCACATTTTCATGGTCATTTGTATTTGTATTGTTTTTAATGTCATTATTACTATTATTAATAAATCTAGTATCACAGATCATTGATTTTGGACGATTTTGACCAGAAGATTGATAATGATTATTTTTTTTTGAATCAGATCTCATAAATGATTTTTTCTCATTATTTGAAAAATTATTTTGAAATTCTTTTGCCCTTTTACTATTATTGTTAATAATTTTATTATCGTTATTATTGTTATTGTTATTATTACTATTATCATTATTATTTGAATGCATTTGCGATGATGATAATGATGACAGTGGTGATATTGATTGTGATGACGATGATAATGGCGATAATCTTAATGGTATTTGACTTTGTTGTTTGGTTGGTTGCTTTTCTATCACAAAATTATTTGTTTCTGTATTATTTTTTAAAAATTCATTATTTTCAAATTCAGATGATTTTGAATCAGTGATTAAATCGGTCAATTGATTTGATTTTTTACTTTTCCACATTTTTCTTAAATCATTAATGTCAATGATATTAGAGCATGTCGAAAAGGATTGATTATTTAAACCAGTTAAAACAGTTTGTGATCGTTTTAAATTTATTTTCGATGATTGATTATTATTGTGAGTATTAGGAACACTTATTATTTTATCATAATTTGTTTGAACACCTTCGGGTACCTGTTGTCTTGGTCTTGGAATTCTTTTATCACCACTTGATAATGATTCCGATGACATTTGTTTATATTTCGTAAAATTTATTTCATCTAATTCAACATCAAATGTTTTTCGTCGAACAGTACAATACATATCGGTTTTATTGAGATTATCAATACTATTACTGTTATGATTTCTGCTACTGTTATTACCATTTTTGTAATTATGATTATTGCTATTGTTATTATTATTATTTCCATTAAAATTTTTAAATGATTCATTCGAATTTTTTGAATTTTGATTTGAATCATAATTTGAATTTATTAAATCATCCCAACCAGGATACTGCTTCCTTTGTTTTCTTCTTAATGTTGATGGTTTATAGCCATTGAGTTCCTTAATTGTTTCAACAATATCTCGATCTTTATTTGCAGATTCAAGTGATGCAATCTGTTCTAATGTCATTTGATATTTATTTAATGATGATATACCATCATTTTTTTCATTATTTCCATTTGATGAAGATGACAATAAAATTGATGATGCATTTTTATCATTTAGGCTATTTGGTCGTTTCAGTTTTATTGTGTTATGGGCTTGCATCCAATTTGCTTCATATATAATACCCATTTGATTTGTTTTGTCTAATGATAAACTTGCATCCATAACTGCTTTGCCAGGATAATGTTGAATTTTCATTTTTTAAATTTTTTTTTGTTACTTACAAATTTTCGGTCGAAATAAATTATTTTCAAATTTTTTTGAAAACTAATATTTGTCATCAAAGAAAATTAATATTTGCAGACATTTTCCAATTTGTTTTTGTTAAATTTTGTAATAATTACTAAAAGAAAATAATTATTAAAATAAAAAAAAAATTATTAAAAAGTCGTAAAAAATTTTAATGTGTTGAAGTCTTGTAATTCAAAGCGTAAATTACAGCAAAATCGTCTTGCATTGTTTATGGTCGGTATCTTCCAAAGAGCATCATTCAATTCACGCCTTATTCACAATACAGAAAATATAAGTTTAATAAGGTTAACTAATTTCATCATATTTCCGAGATTATAAAGCTTATAACATTAAAATTTCGCATTAATGAAAAGAGTAACAGTAACAGTGTTTTATTGAAAATTGGTTGCGGTAGTATAAGTTCATATATCTGCCATACAAATTCAAAAAAAAATGGGCATCTAGCCAATACAAACTACAATATGTAAGTAAATCGAGTACTACCAAGCTAAGTAATAGAGCCAGTCTAAAACACGTCTTACGAAAGTACTGAATTTTCTTGTTAGGGTGTGAAATAGCTTTTGACAAACATTTATATAGGTATATAACAAATTTGACACTGGCAATTCTATTTTTTCTTGTTTTAATTACAAATTAAAGCAAGAAAATTACAAGAATCACTAAAGTTGCAAATTTTAATCAGCAAATTTTATATTCGTCAGCTCTAAAACACAGCAAATTTCCAGTGAACACAAATGTGCTTACTTGAAAAGAGTAAAATGTTTGTACTTATCTTTATGAGTCTCAGATCAGAAACAGACTGATAATTTAAACATTAAAACATGCATAGGTATTCAATGTACATACATCACAAAAAAAAATCTATTGATCATTTGCTAACTTAACAATATTAACAAAGAATTCAATTTCAAAAATTAAAGTTGAAAAAAAAAAACAATATTGTTTCACAATATTTTTTACATATGTTTTCTGATGAAAAGATGATAGATAGCATCAATCAATTTAATAAAGTTCATAAAAAACACAATAAAAATAATTTATAGATACATACAATTCAAACTATGGAAAAAAAACTCTTGAAATAAAAAATATTATCAGAGCGGAAGTTCATACAAAAAAATAAAAAAAACAAATGAAATGAAGTTCAGAACATTTACACACAGATTTTACAACCGCTAATAACTATGATAATTTGTTGTTTTTTAGCACTTTTGCATAAAAAATATTGATAAAACCTGCTTATTAATTTAACTCTGTCGGTCCGGTCGTTCGTCCGTGGAATCGTTTACAAAACTTCTACACCTTTGAAGATAAAGAGCTGAAATAATATGTAAACAGTTCTTTGCTATAAACTTATTTCCGTAGAAGAAAATTTTTACCCATCTCTCCCCCCTCTAAAAGCTATAGTCCCTCAACGACCTAAAAATGCCTTTTTTTTAACTACTTATTTTAAAGATACCATAAACATTTTTCAAATTTTGTTAACGCAGAAAAATACTGTCGGGCATTTGCTGCTATGCAAAATAGTTGCTAAAATTAAAATTTTTTATGTCGTTTTTGTTACGCCGTAAGTTGTAGGAGTCTGAAATTAGACATTATTAAATAGCTTTCAGATGTTATTATAAGTAGTTTATTTCGATAGAAGAAAATTTTTTTCCACCTTAACTCCCTCACAAGTTATGGTCTCTTGAAACTGGGAAAGTTTGAATTTTTGGCACCCTATATTTCCGATTATGCAGAAAGCTAACGATATATAATTATTAACTCACGCAATTCACGCTTTAGTTGGAGTATTATCCTGAATGTATGCAATCTTTGAAATATTTCAGTATATCAATGAAATTAGCCTAAATAACGTAGCCAAATTGTATTTCCAGATTCCCAGCTGTTGAAGGGAAAATTGCTACTTTACAAACCATTGAATTGCCCTAACTTTATTTCTTAATACATTTTCCACATTTTAACATCATGTATTCGTGTATTCTTTATAATTAAAATTATGAACATGAAATAAATTAAGAATTCATTTTTTAAAGCAAAAGACTGGCCAAAGAGGAGGAATAATAATGCATACTAGAGAATCATATGGAAAAACTCAACATTTTCATCTTTAATATTTTGCAATAAAGAATCTGATATTTTTATACCCACATTTTCACAGCATTTAAATTTTTTGTGTTTAGTTTTTTTAATATTATTTTTATGTTTAATTAGAAGTCTTGGTGAGGTGCAAATTATAATAATATTAAAAAAAGAAGAAGAAGAAAAATACTGAATTATTAAGTATGAACAATTAGGTTATTGGGTGTTCTATTTTATAGAGAACAACAAAATAGAATAGAAAGAAAAGTAATAAAATATAAAAATAAATAAGAAATAAAATTAAGAAAACTAGGTTAGGTTTTCAGATGGTCATTTAAGCGATTAAAATACAAAGTTGTATAATACAATAAATTTTGAATAGGTACAGGTAGGTAGTGAGAAAACTTTTAAATATTTACTTTTACAGCTATATAAAATTCTTATTTATTTTTTTCTTTTTATATTTAAATGTTTACAGTGTTAAAATTTTGAATCAAAAACTGATATAATGCAAAAGCGGAAATTTCCAAAATACCAGTGATTTTTTTTTTATATTTAATTGCTATATTTAGAGTATTGTGTAATATGTGAATTAATTCCTTAATGAGATTTTTATAGTAATCAAAGTGCTAATAATAATATTTATAGTTAAACTGTCATACATGTTTATTTGGTTTCTTACAATTTATCTACTGTATAGAGTCAAATCATTCATTTTGCTATATAGTCTGTTTTTGTTTTTTACAAATTTGAATTGCTGCTATCCTTTCAAGGTCGTCTTTACAATATTGTAATAAATAAGCATTTTAAATACATAAAAGAGGTTTTATACATTATTTACGGTTTAGGTTTCATGGCAAAATATACTAGAGAGAATAGATCACTGTAATACTACATAATTTACAGAGAACTGTTTATTACTATTATTTGTTCAAGTTAATACTCGAATATCGAGGAAACCTTGTTTACGTTTAAAAAGTATACGTACTAAATTGAATTTATTAAATGTAAAATATAAGCGGTAAGTTTTCGATATCTAATTGTAACCAATTTACTTCTATTTAACTTGCGTATTTACAGTACAACTTGTTTATTAGAAATCTTCATTAAGGAAATTACTGACTTAAGTGAACATTTTTTATGCGCTCTTGTCATTTCACATTAAACTCATACCCTCAATACCCTTTTATTCTTTTGACAGACACACTCTTTTCTCAATAGTTTACAGCTGTACATGTTGAAAATATTGACATAGCATACAAAATTCTCCTTTGTATAAGAGTGGACAAAAACCGAATTTAAATAGAATGCAATAAAATTTACAATCTATTTAAATTAATATGTTACTATTTTCGAGATATATATATTTTTTTGTCAAAACCCCTTATAAAACATTAAGTTTCCATCTAGAAGGTAAAACTTCTGCTTGCAAGAAACAAAATTAATATCTCTATTATTTTAGTGTTTTATTTTAAGCGGGTTTTATACAGTATTTCTTACTTCTATTTTTACAATCCATTCATATGAGGCATCCTTTATATTCCAATGACATTAACACCTTTTTAATTAATTCATTTGAATGTATGTGAATATACACAAAAAATGGAGAGCGATACACCTAAAATTTAGTACCATTGCACTTATTAAAACTTCCAATAGTCATCATTAATTTCAATCCAAGTTCATGGATTTATAATCACAAAACCTCAATAATAATGACAATATAAAATAATAATCCAAATATAAGAGATTATATTTTTTTTTCATATTTATTTTAATTTGTATCTAGTCGAGCTTAATTTTTTTTTTAAATCTAATAAAATTAAATTTTTACAACATTATAATCACTCTTCAATAGTGAAATGTTTTTTATTTAAAAAGAGTCATTAATTTATGTAAAATCTCCTATTTAAATAACGGAAAAAAAAGTATCTAGGTACAAAGATTTTCGTTGCCTAAGGCAATTATGGCTTAGGTTATTTTTTTTCCTAAAATTTATTGTCTTCATTTTGTTTTGTTTTTTTTTTTAACTATTAAATTTATGAATATTAAACAACTTACATGCTATAAGCTTAAAAACAATTTCATAAAAAAAAGTTGAAAAATGTTGTTATCTTCATTTTTTTTTGTATTTTTATTTAAATGAACTTGTAACGAGTCAAACTTGATTTTATACGCTTAAAATGACAACTTTCATTTCATCATAGAAAAAAAAATATAATTAAGGGAAAATTATTTGTGTAAAAATATTTAAAATACATACATATTAATAATACTGTAGAACGTCTATAACTCGAACTCTATAATGATAAAGAGACCATGTGCTTGAAGCTCATAAATATGAAAACAAGTAACAAATATAATTTTTCATACATGTTAAATGTTTTAACAAAATTAATTTAATTAAATTGATGCACCCAGACTAATACTACAGTTGGTAGTAAATCAGTTTTCCTTAAAACAAAGCATATAACAAAAAACAACTGTTACAGTATAACTGAATATACTGTAGTTTCAACATTATCTTAATTGCACATCATAAAAACGACATCATAATTACGACATCATAAAACGACAACACTATCCCAGACTCATTTGACCCGCCTCTCTTAAGTATTCCAAAATGTACACTAATTTGAAGAAAATAACTGCAAATTTTATAACACAAATTTTAAAGAGAAATTCCTGTTAACAAAGCATAGAAAATTTCAACTGTTATATTAAAAATTTATGAAAATATTTTTAACATTATTAAATAATTTTCTTTGTTATACTCTTTTAAAACGGGATTTATATATAAATTTTATAAGAAATTTCATCTTAAAATAATTTTATTTCCTTTGAAAGTTTTTGAAATAGTAAGTGATTTTATTTTTTGTCTTTCTTAAAATCACATGTATAATGACTTTTAATTTCACTTTAAATTATAGCATTACTTGGGTGCAGTTTTCCTACAATATAATGTGTAATTAAATCTTGTGTAATTAAAATAATAGATTAAAAGTTTCA